ACTCTCTCTTGGGCAGAGAAAACTTAAATGCAAAACGATAAGCAGGTATTCGCTACTTAAAATAGCAAATGTACAAGGAACAGCTGGGGAAGGGAAAAAGTGGCTTCCACTTCCTACCATAGCACATTCCCAGCTCTGGACTTCACCATCCTCACAGCAGCAGGGGCAGACAGATGGGACGGGACACTCAGTGCTTCTGGACAGGGAAGGCCCCAGCTTTCATGAGGGGAGGTAAGAAGAGATGGGTTCCTCTGTGGGGCCAGCATCACAGTCTCTGGGCCCCCTCCAGTTCAGGCAGGATTGATTAAGACTGCTCAGCTTTGCAGTAAGGGAGCAGGTTAGAAAACCTCTGACAGAGTTGCCATCTGCATTTAAACTTAATACATAATTCAGGCACAAAGGTTGACAGAAGCAAGTGCTGAAGTGGGGTTGCATGTTTTGATTTTCAAAAGTTACTTTTAAACTGAGTCATTCCCCTGTGATGATTCTTTAAAGTAACATTTTGTATCAAAATAGGGGTGTAAGCCAGAAAAACCTGCAGCATACCATCCTCAGTAGGCACCCAGCAGTGCTAAGAGCAGGATGGAGGCAGCAGGATCTGCAGCTTCTCAAGAATGTCTTCTGCTCTTTTAATAGTTCTCCTTGAGGGGGTGTGGAGGTTTGTATCATGTATCTTTCTCTTGCTGCTGAATCAAAAATAGTACACTGACTCATTTGGTACAGGCAGTTAGATGGTCACCAGCCATGTTGAGCACAGATCCCACCTCCTGCTCTGGTCTGGCTTACCCCAGGCCTCATTCCCACAGGAGTCTTCTCACCTCAAACAGCAGCTTTGCTTGAGCAAGGTCTGCAGTGCTGATCAAGTCCCTCTTTCTGCTGCAGCACATGCTTTTGCAGCTTGGCAGATGATGTCCTTCAATAAATAAACCCACTGAAATGGGTGGGAATTTTTCTACTGCCTTCCAGGGCAGTTGAGGTTTGACATCCACCTCGGAATGGGGCAGCTGGCCCTGGATGAATGCAGGGCCACACAGGAACATGCACTGCAAAAAGCATTGATCCTGCCCATTTTTAGTGGCAACATCAGTGTGACTGAGCATCAAGAGAGAAAGGTGCAACCAGGGAGCCTAAAATGCAGTCATTTTGAACCTCCTCCTCTTCCCCCTCAACTCAAACCCAAAGAGCTAAACCACTTTCCCTTCCAAAGGGACCTGCAAAATGAACAACGGGGATTAATCTATGGTGGTTTATTAATATCCAGTTCCTAGGAATAGATATTTCTATGCTCTGTAAAAGGAATCATTGTGAAAGTTGCAAGCTTGGCAACTTCACAGAGGTGTTCGTGTTTCTATTATCTACTTTATCTCCCAAAGAACTCTCGTGCTTTATCCTGAATCAAAACTAACTGTGCTAGCAGACCTACAATAATCACCCTTAGAGATGACCAGTGCACAAAGAAAGAAAGGAAGAGGAAGGAAACCATAAAGAAAAAAATTCCATTTTCAAATAACTATTAATTACTCGTTAGATTGATATTATTAACCATTAATAAATAACTTATCACAAGAATCAGTCACCACAAAGCCCTCCTAACACTATTTCCAACAGGGTTCTGTTGTGACTTGTACCTTGCTCGACAAGTAGCAATATTTACCCACTGGATTGAGCAATACTGATCATGTCCAGCCTGCAGTCACAACTTACAAGGCAGACTGAATTTTGACATTGATCCTTTTGCTAATCTATGCAAGCTTAAAGACCTGATCTTGTGAAAGACTCTTACACCAGCCTCTCATATCTGCATTTTAGGTCTTTGCTCTCTCAGCATCATCACATCTTTGCTGGTGCAAAGGGTTTAAAAATAAAATAATTTATTCCTTCTTGATATTGTCTTCCCACTGTGTCACTTGTGGATTTTAAATATATTTATTTTGTGTCACTGACCCTCTTTTGCCTTTAAATGCAGCTTTTTGAGTTCACTTCTGGTTTGTATCTATATTATAAGGACATTGTCCTCCTGAAGTACACTGCTATAATACTAGACTTATCATGTGCCTTGGGGGATAAGGAGACAAAGTCAGACCTTGTTATACTCTAATTTCGTATATATATGTCACTTGATTTCATTAGGAAATGCAATATGAAACTGATATGCCCAGTGGCTATCTTCTCATCACCAGTCAGTACAAGTATTTTAAAATGATGGCATGTAATTTCAGTGCTCTCCCATCTCTGTTTCTGATTAATAAGCTCTGTGATCCTTCTGTCCATCCAAACTGCTTAACAAACTCCAATTTGAATGCACTAACAGTGTGAACTATGAGTATGAACTGATAACGGTCTCCAGACTGTGAGGCACATGAAAGGCAATCCCCATAGACACGGTTGGTTCTGCTGCACCATAAACTCAGCAACGAGTCCTTACAAAACCTACAGCTTCCCACTTCTTGGTTCATGTCCTCTCCTTGGTCAGGGCAAACCCCAAGCATGTAGCCTCCAGCCTTCCTCACACTGATTTCTGTGCAGAGGACACGTGGAGAGGTAGAGGCAGTAGCAGCCACAGCACACTTCCCCCAGCAGGACCCAGCTGCAATACCACCTATCAAAAAGCAGACATAGGCCAAGAGAAAAAGTTGAAAAGCTTACTAACTTTGGACTTCAACTATGGAAAACACAGCATTTTCTCACTGCTAAGAACAATGAGCTTTCTATGTCAAATGATAGCCCAGATGCCTTCTTCAGAACCTACAGAGAGTGGGGGCAGCCAGCGTAAGTAACACATTAAAAACAATGTCAGATATTTGTGTTGCCAAACCCTTCATAAATGACAAAATGAAAAGATCTTTACAAAAAAGTAATATCCATAGTACAAAATAAATACACTCATTCTTCCTTGCTCTGCTCCTGAAACGCTTCTGAACATTTTAAAGGTGAAGGAACAGAATAATTTAAAATTACAGGAATCCCCATATTCAAAATCACCAACACTTTGATTGAAGTAATTCAATATGGTGATTTTAATAGTACAAATCCTTCCTTATTCATAATATTATGATGCCTATTTATTGCAAGACTTCAGAAGTTAGGCAGATTCTTATAAGAGAAGTGACATAAAAGATGGTCCTGAAAGCAGCCAAAAAATGCAAGCCGTTTCCTCCCTTCCGTCTCACAGTGAACTAAGACAATTTTCTACCTCTCTGTAGAACAGATTTCCCTGAGGAAAAAAGAGAGGCTTGCTTGCTTCAGTTTCTGAAAATAGTTGCATGGTAGGGCTGCTAAATTTGCTTCACATTTAGGTCAAATATTGACAAGAGCTTTAAAATGCTACCAGAGCTGAAGAGGTTTTATGCAAGAACCTTAAAGATATAACTTATACATTGAAATAAGGCACTCAGGAAGCTAAGGAGAAGCCAACAACTTCAAGTCACTGGAAAGCTAACTCTAATATTTTATCTGACACTTGTAAGAATAAAGCAGTAGTATTGTGACAGGTGATGAAGAACAATGAACTTTTAAAGGAACAAACATATCAAGAAGATGCAAATAACTCTACTCTAAGTGCCCCTCCAATGGGTGATGGAACAGAGGCAATAAAAGGGAAAGCTGGAAAATAATGTGACAATTAGACTCAGTCTTACAGAAGAAATTTAATCATTAGTTGCATGTAATTATTCCCTCTTTTAAAAAATAGGATTTTTCATTATTACAAAAGTAAAATATGCCTTAACAAATTTTCTTTGTTGACTATTTGTTAATAGTTTGACTAGTTTGACTGTCTTCACATTTTTGGAGCTGCTCACAGAATAATATTGGTGTATTGGGAAATTGGAAACTGAACAGGCATTTATTGTTTTAACTGGCAGTTTCATAATGCTGATACAGGATTTAATGAAACTGAAATACATAATTATTGAAAATATAACTACTGTTTTATAATTTTAAAACAACCTTTTATTTTATCCAAACATTATTTCATTTTATTATAGATGCCTGAAAATATTCCGTAGTCGATATGGACATTCTGTCACATTTTTTAATGAGTCTGTCATACTGTTAACACTGACAAGGCATCAAAAATTGCCATATTATTGCCAACACAAATCATTCCAGTTGTCTGTTGAAAACTACGTAACATACAAGAACTTGATCTATAAGCTCTTTGAATAGTTAGGTTTGCAAGTAACTCGGTGCCTCTCTGCACAGCTTGTGTAAGCAGGTGTTGGATGAGTTCTGTAATGCTTATCAAGGTTTTACTTGGACAACATTATCTTTTTTTTACTTGAGTGGCAGTTTTCCCTCGTAGTAGCACACTGCAGTTAATGCTGCTGCTATTTCCTAATAACCCTGCATAGAAATAAAGTTGCTGCTGTTGGTTATTCTCTGTCTCCCTAGATAGATTGTGTAGGACTGTGCTAAGGGGACTTGCTCCTGTTGTCAGGGTGGAACTGAGGGGGTGAACACGGCTCCATCTTGCTTGCTAGTAAATACCAGATCCTGAACTCAGCTAAAAAAACCAAGGTAAGCACTGGCTGAGTAGGTAGGTCAGGATGTAAATAGGAAGGGAATCATTTCCTCAGCAGCAGTATGTTTTGTGACACAGCATCCCAGAACTGACCACACTGTCTTACACATCCCTCCTTTCCCCAAGCAGCAAAACATTTGCTTCTTTTAGAAAAGGGAAAGGAGTGAAACATTTTGCTTACTGCACGCAGACAGAATTTCAGCATTCAGCATTTCCCTTTCATTTAAAATATCTAATTCTATTTATATTCCTGGGTTTATCTAACAGAACTCACTCTGACCTAGGGGAGAGATTAGTATTTTTTTTTACTGCCATGTGGCTCTGTTGTGTGCGGGGGGGGGGGATGTTGCTTCTCTTAATTTAGACAATTAGAATGCAGAATTTTTCCTATGTATAGTTAATTTCAGTTGTGTACTATCTGCTACTCTTTCTAAAGACAAAGCATTGCTTACTATCAGAAATGTACAGTCCAAAAAGGTATTCCTGAGTGTTTTATTTTGGAAGTGTAAAGGGTTTTTAAATGAACAAAAGTAAATATTCAAATACGTTTCATCCTGCATGTGGTAGGACTGGCTCCATACAATAAAATATGGATGAAGCAACTCTGTCAGTTAATTTCTTTGAGACATGGAGTATAATACATCAACACTTCCAGTTCTGGTCTTGTGTCATACATAACACTGCCTGACCTTTTTGCTATAATTTAAATCTGGCCTACTTTAAAAATTATTAATATTTTGCTATATTGATTGTCCAAGTTAGGGTAAAAAACTCTTAAAAACTACTGATCCTAGGACACTGCAAGACCCTAAGTACTGCAGTCTCTGAAGAGAAATATACATCTATTTTTTGAGAAAATGTCACTACCTGCAGATTAATCAATGCAAAGTGATCGTGCAACTAAATAGTCTGAGTTGAAATTTAAAGCTGCAGAACAGGATTCTTCTACTCCCAGTGCTGCTTGAAATCTCACACACCTTTAAAAAAATATAATTAGCTTTAGATTTATCCCACAATAAATAACACCAGAACATACCTTGTGCTACCAACCTGAATTTAAAAAAAAGTAAGAGGCCACCTCAGTGTTTTGAATCTATGAGATCTTTCAGACACAAAGCCCTAACAGAGTTTCCCAGTCAAAAGGCATCAGGAAGGCTCTTCACTTATGGTAAACTTGGGCTTTAGCTTGACAGACCTCTTCCTTATTGTGCCTTTAGGGGACAACGGCATGGTGTCCATAATGCTCTTGTCCTCCTCCAGCTGCCTAGCAGTGCATGAAGGGGTGGGCACTTTCACTGTGTTGCCAAACTTAGAGTAGTCCACAGAGTATCGCCCATCTTCCTCTGCCACGATGGGCACAAACCTTTGGCCCCAGAGGATTTCATCTGCCAGGTAGGAGGTTCTGGCCTGAGTGGTAATGCCAGTGGTCTCCACCACCCCTTCCAAGATGACTATGATCTCCAGGTCTTCATGGTGGTGAAGGTTCAGGGGCGAGATGTCGTAGAGGGGGCTGTTCTTGTCTATCACGTGGTAGATGATGAGCGGGGAAACGAGGAAGATGCTGTTGCCCCCCACGGGGTTCTCCATCTGAATGTCGATCTGGTTGAGGGGCACCACCTCCCCTTCCAGGCTGGCCGTCTTCTTCACCACCTGCATGCGGATCGTGGCGCTGATGATCATGCTCTTGCGGAGGTCGCCCACGCGCAGCATGAAGCAGAGCTTGCCCTCCCGCAGCGCGATCACCGCGTGCTTGCTGAAGATGAGGGTCTCGGCGCGGCGATGGGCCTGCGAGGTCTTCATGAAGATGCAGCCCAGCATGATGGCGTTGATCACCAGCCCCACGATGTTCTGCACGATCAGCACCAGGATGGCGGCTGGGCACTCCTCTGTCACCATGCGGCCCCCGAAGCCAATCGTCACCTGCACCTCGATGGAGAAGAGGAAGGCGGAGGTGAAGGAGTGGATGCTGGTCACGCAGGGCACGAAGCCGGCCGGGCTCCCCGCGGCG